TCATATTCTGTATTTGAGTTATCTCATAAATGTATGAATTGCTGTTCAAACAATTACTTGGTAAGCAGCCAAGTTAAATATTTACGGCAAAGAGCTTCCCATTTCCTCTTGGCATTAATTACTCACTTTTCTGTGCTTTGTGTATTTTAATTATGTTACCTGCAGTGGTCTTCACTAGTACCACCTTAATGCATGACATGGTGAAATTACCAGGTTAGCTAGTTTCTCCAATGACACAGAGGGCAGACACTCAGAAAGCCCCACAATCGAGGCTACTGGTCAATTATATGGTTAGCCACTTGGATTCTGGCTGTGAAGTGAAGTAAGTGTTAGTCATTCAGTTATGTCCGACTCTGCAACTGCATGGACTGCAGACCGGGCTCCTCTGTCCATGGAATTCTCCAGGCAAGAATACTGGAGCAGGTATCCACTAACTTCCTCAGGGCATCTCACTAATCCAGGGATTAAACCCTGGTCTCCTTCATTGCAGGCGAATTCTTTACCAACTGACCCACCAGGGAAGACCCTAATGAATGCTAGAAGCAATATTTTAAAGGAGATTTTGGGTCTACCAAATAAAAGTCAGGCCCATATGATCTGCCTTCAACTTGGAATCAGTAAGAGAAATAATGTGAGGGATACATACGTTGGCATTCTGCAGGGAAAGCTTGAAAGGGATGTCTACCAAGACCTTTAGACTGGTGAAAAAATCTTGGTTCAGCATGGCAATATCCACAATTTTGCCTAGAGACAGTCCTCACTGCTAAAGGGTAATAGCACATTCTGGGATGCCACTTCTCAATATCAAGGACATTTGTAATTCAGCTAAGGGATAAAGGTTCTTCCTCCTCAAGAAAGGTAGGGGAAAGGGATCTCAGCTTAAACTGTAACATACTAACCCATCCCCTTCTGTAGGTAGTCAGAGCAAGCTAAGTTTGATTGCAGTTTTCTTCCAGGCATGAAAGAGTGGAGGAGACCAATGGAAGTAAAAAACTACTGTCCCTGGCCTTAGTTCCTAACATCAGAAACTAGAACAGATTTCAGCCTTCCAAAGAGGATAAGCATTCTGAGGTTGACCGTGCAATTAATTTAAAACCTCCTCCATATATACAAAGCAATTCTACAATGTCAACAGAGGTTAAACTTACTTATGATTAGAGAAGTAGTTATTTTCCTAAATAGTGCAAAATACTGGCTTTGGGTTTTAAACAATCTTAAGTCATCAGGATGACTAGCTTTCCTTCTTTTGACATCCTTGAAAGAAATTTTAGATGTGCTTAAATCTTTTATCATAACAGTTTCATTCATTTTGGTGTGTAATTATGTAGAACCTTTCCATTTCAGTATCTTCTATGTATCAAACATTCTTTTATATATTGTTAATACAGAGATAAATAAATACAGATAGAATAAACTGACCCATAGGAAAATATTTGCCAGATGAGCTGTAACTCTACATTGCATTCATTTCAATGCAGTGAATCAATGACCTCAAAAGGCAGAGCAAGATCTTACAAGTTAAATGTCAGTAATGTTCCTTACTGAGTGAGAACACAGTTAGAAATACTTGCCTACTAATAGTGTGAACATACTCTTCTGTTACATGATGTCCTTTTAACACATTTTAATTTCTCAGGAAAAAACTTCTTCCAGGGTTTTAAATGAGGTCTGATGTGTCTGTGTTACTTTCAGCAAATACATTGGCTTAATTCTCTCTAACATACTATCTTCAGCAAACAGGCATCTATCAAGGTTTGTGTAATATACTAAACGCTAAATAGAAGTTAAACCTACAAAAGGGGCTCTTTTAGACAAAAAAGTCATGGTTTAGAAAAATTTTTGTTCTCTACACTTTCAATTTAGGCTGAATCTTGAAATTAGCATCTTCATAAAGTGCTGAAAGACCCACATTTTGGTGCTATTCTTTGACTGACTTGGGACTATAGGTGAGGGATTATATCTTTCACTCATGCTGTGAAGTTATTTCTGAAATGATATTATTAAGTACCATCAGGGACAAGGTGTAGTTGAAGGAATGCTTAAGAATTTAATCAGTATTTAAAATACCCCAGTCTACTTTATCTGGCAGGTGTACACATTAGTTTTAAGGGAGTTGGTCCCCAAATGATTTCATGATATCCAAGTAAAATGGATATGTGTATATTTATTTCCTTGAATGATTACTAAGCCTCTCAAATAGTAAATGTGGACTTATGTAAAATGAGTAGGTGTAAGAAGGTGAATCCTAAAGACAAACAGTTTAAACCAATAAAGAATTTCTCTGGAAAGAATAAAGAGTAAGTGATTAGGGGTAGGAGAGGAGCAGGAAGAAAGGCGGATGAAAGCTTCCTTGCTTAATTGTTTATAAATTGTTGTTAAGAGACAAAATTCTCTCTATGCCCAGATTATGTAATTTATCCAAAGTGTGCAGGCTTCCTGTTCAGCAGTGCTGATAACGACACTAATAGTTTAATTACAACTTGCTGCTCGAGGAGATAAACGAGGCTGTTTGCTTTTTAAGCCAGGGGTTACAATTACTTTTAAAGGCGGGTAAAGGCGCATCTGAGAGTAGATCTTACTGTGCCAGGAAAGCCACCCAAAACCAGCTGGAAAACAAAGAGCTGGGGATGAGCCACCACCACAAAATTAGAGCAAAGCTCCCGATCCGAGCAGTGGAGCAGTAGGCGGGAGGCGTAGTAAACAGGCGGCACATGTAGGTGGGCAGGGATAGAAAAGTTTTCTGAGGCCAGTCAGTGAGCTCTTTCCCTCGGATTCCATCACCGAGGGACTGAGCACCGCCCCCCAGCCCCCAAAGCTGTCCAGCTCTGTCATGCCTCTGTCACACAGCCCTCAGCTTCAGCACCACCAAGAGGACAGCTCCCCAACCCAAGAACTCAGCCCTCAGCGACTGCCCTCCCTCACTGACGAACATCCTCCCCAGCACATGTCTTTCTTACTGCTGTCCTGACACTGTGCTTTTAAGGGTATTTCCTAAAGGACATTTGGAAGGGACTGGGAGCTTGTTTGGCCTGTTTATTTCCAGATGAAAACGAGTGGAGTTCTCTCTGAAAAGTCCAATCTTTTCATTGGCCTTCAGAGCAATTTAACCAGAATAAAAGACTGCAAGTCACTGGCTTGAATCTGGTGGCAGAATGGTTCAGCCTAACCCAGCACTAACAGAAACTTGAAACTCTTTTTTCACGCTTTATTTTGTTTTGTTGTAAAAGCACCAGTAGTAGGTGAACAACCTTTATTAAGTGTCTCCTTAGCCCCTTTCCTTCTCTGCTAAGCCAAAAACGTTAAGGGAATATACTGGAGTTTGGTTAAAAAAAAAAAAAAAAAGAGTGATCCTTAATATCTCTGGGTTGGAAACAACCTTGACCCTGAAAGGAACTCTTCTCAGTCCTTTCCAAGAACCTCACAGTCATATTGTGAATCTAGAACATACAAGTGAAGGATTAATAGTTCCAAACGGAGACCACAGCCTACTACTGCATGCCACAAAAGCTATCAAAGCTTCCTCCAATAAAGCCTTCTTTCCCCCAGTCACAAATCCAGAGGCAAACATTCCAGATGTGATAAGAAAACGAAGGGTTAAAAAAAACCCCAAATCACCAAAACAGGAAAAATTACACTCCAAAGAAGTTGGCTACTTTGGCACACTCCGTTACCATCCCACCAGTCATAGGATATGGTTCCTTAGCCAACACATCTCCTTTCTCTATGCAGAGCTTTCTCCTTCATTCAGACTTCTCAGTAGTGAGTAAAATAGTCATTATTTGAAGTTTCTCTTTCCTTGAGCATGCACACACACACATACTTTGATTCAGTTCCATTTTCAAGGGTTTATTTCCTAAAGAAAAAGGGATCCTCTTCTTCTTGAAGTTATTTTGAAGGAGGATTTTGAGGAAAATGCCCTCACTTTTTGCAGTGGAGTTGCTAGAATAGTAAGGAATTCTAGAAAGGAAGAGACACAAGCTTGTGGGGGGGGGGGGGTGGGGCAGGGGAGGGGGAGAACTTAGCAGTCTTCTAGAAAAGTTAGTGGTGAACAACTTCCTCCTGGTGACAGGGACCCTGCACTAGGAACAGGAAGGGGTGGGGGTGGTCTGCCCCTGAATCTGGAGCAACAGCTGCATCAGTGGAGACAGCGGACACTGGTGCGTCCTTTCAGGTAACCCTGACAGGTCTCAGTGGAAACAGTTTGACTCCCTGTATCCCTCAGTCCTTTCTGCGGCTTCTTTCTTCCTTCTTTCCTCCTTCCTCCCTTCCTTTCCCGTCCCATCCTTCCTGTATCTGCCTCTCTTCTCCTCCCTCCTGCTTCTTTCCCTCCCTCCTCCACCTCAGTTACCTTTTCACTTAACCCCATCTGGGCCACCTTGGGTACCAGTCTCACTGACAGCTTCCCATCACCCCATGTGTATCCTACAGACCATCTTATTACTACCGTCACGATGGTTGCTTGCCAACTGCTGGGTCCGGTTCCCAGCTGTTAAACCCCACCCCCTCCTCTCTCCTCACTTCAAAGCCGCAGCAGTGGTATCAACCCGGCAGAGTCACCAGAGTCTGAATGTCACCAACAAGTTCCACCCGGCGGTAGCAGCTCCACCAGCAAACCACACCAGCGGAGCCTCGCCAGCCCCCTCCGCCCACAGCCGGCGGTGCTCGGGCAAGCTGAGCCGCGCTCCAGGCTACGCCTACGATCATTGTTACCGGTGACAGCACTTTCTTCTCTTCGAGGCAGGGGAAAGCCCGGCGTGTGACTCCCGGGTGGATGCAGGGCTCCACGCGCCACCCTCCCCCACCTCCGCAAACCACCCCCCACCCAACACACACCCTCCTCTCCCGGCATACAAAGAGAGCGAGCGCGCGCCGGGGACCAGCGGGGTAGGAAGTGGGGCGGGCTGGGGTACCGAGGAGGGGCTGGGGGCCGAGCCAGCCCGGGAGCAGGGCAGGAAGCCGGGGGGGGGGGGGGGAGAGCGGGGCACGCGCTCCGTCCTCACCTGCCCCCAGGTTAAAGGAGATCCTGGCCTCAGCGAGGTACGGCGTGTCGCTCTTGGAGCGGACTCTTCTGATGGGCCGCCGGTCTATATCGTCCTCCGAAGATGCCGCCATTAAGGTGGGAGGCAGGAGCAGGGTCGCCCGGCGAGCTGAGAGGGAGAAGGAGATGGAGAGAGAGGGAGAGAGGCGGAAAAGGGGAGGGGGGGAAAGGAAGAGGCTCGCACACAGGGAAGGGGGGAGGGGGGAGGGGGATGGGAGAGGGAGGGAAAGGGGACGGGGAGGGAGGGGGGGAAGAGAGGGGAAAAGGAAAAAAGGAAAAAAAAGGAGGGAGAGAGAAAGAAAGAGAGCAAAGGAGAGAAAAGGGTGAAGGGAGAGAAAGAAAACCCGTTAAGGATTTGTGGACTGGAGCAGAGATCAGGCTCTCCCTGGCTGGCGCTCGCCCCCACCTCCCCTCACCCCTAGCTCCTCTCCCAGCCCCAGGGCCAGCGGGTCTGTGCTGCAGGCGGGAAGGCCACCCCGCCTCCTGCCTGCAGCCCCAGGTTGCAGCTCTTGGCCCAGAGAGGCGAATGCGAAAGGGAGGACTCCAAAGATGCCCAGTCAGCACTGTGTCCTCTCCCGCCAAATGCACTGACCCCCCTTCTCAAGTGCGCACGCGGGTCTCCTTAACCCCCAGGACTGTCTGGTCCAAGGATGCCCAACCAGACAGCCCAGCTTCAGCTTCCCTTGCATGCCATTATTAGTCCTGGGGTGCAAGCCTAGCCCCAGCTGGCCGGGGGAGAGAACAGGATACGCGGGAGTACCCCCTGCGCACCATCTTCCCCAACTCTGGAGCTCAAATAGAGATGGAACCAGATGTGGAAGCATGTACAACTTTAGGGGTAGGCTGCCTGTAAAGTTTCTAGATTTGCTGTTTTGAATGTAGACAAGTATGTGCTTAGGTGCTCAGTGGTGTCCAACTCATTGCGACCCCATGGACTACAGCCTGCCAGGCTCCTCTGTCAGTGGGATTCTCCAGGCAAGAATACTGGCGTGGGTTGCCATGCCCTCCTCCAGGGGATCTTCCCAACCCAGGGATCCAACCCAGGTCACCCACATTGCAGTTGAATTCTTTACCATCTGAGCCACCAGGAAAGACTAGGTATATTCACCAAGAATTGGGTGGCTTTTCTTTTTTTTTTTTTATGTGGACCATTTTTAAAGTCTTTATTGAATTTGTTATAATATTGCTTCTGTTTTATGTTTTGGCTTTTTGATTTGGGATCTTAGCTCTCCCACCAGGGATCAAATCTGCACCCTGTACCTTGGTAGGCAAAGTGTTAACCACTGGCTTGCCAGTGAAGTCCCCCAGTGGCTTTCTTAGCACTACTGATTTTTAGGATATGTTTATCTCTATGGAAGTACCCACTCGTTTTCACTTTCAAGTTTTTATTTGGTGATTTACAGCATGCATAGTGGTCTTTGGATTGGACCTGTAGTCTCTGTTACTCTGTATCGTTGTTTCTGAAGGACAGGCTGAAGATCAAGGGCACCTCACATTTCTTTGAATGTCTGCACTGCAGCCTTCCCATGTTATACAGTAGGAACAGCTAGAAAGATTTCTGGAGTGTGAGTCAGAATGGTTTTGATGCTCCTGCTGAACCTATTGATGGGCTCAGCTCTTTGATGTTTGTCTCCTGGCAGCTTCAGTCACTTGGTCTTTTGTGGCCAGATGTTGCCACATTTCCTTCTAACAGGAGCCCACCTGGAGTACACAGATAAATGTTACCTTCATTCCCTTCCTGCTACAAAGGAAATCTCAGTGTCAAGTCATGACCTTCAGTCTCACAGGATGAAGCGCTGCTTCAGCTCTGCAGAACTTCCCTCTCCACTTCAGCTGTCAGCTCTAACTCTCATCCTGTGTCCTTGCGCCCAGGCTAGGCTCTTCAGTCTCTTCACATTGGTCTCTTACTTCACACATAGGTAGTAACTCTTCAGCTGCCCTCTCCTTGATGCTGCTTCAGTCTCCACCATTCGATTTCTCTCCCAGTCTGTTTGTTTATTTATTTATTTATTTTTAATCTCCCAGTCTGTTTAACCTTCCCATGGAACTCTTGGCCCCAGAGCCTCCATTTTTCATTCCCATTCCCCTCCTTGTATCCTTACCTCTGCTTTTTATCCCCACCACTCAGTCACAGTTACTTTAAAGGTCATCAATAGCCTTACAAGAGCTAGGTCCATTTGTTTCTTGAGTAATGTATCCTTCTTGAAATAATCCTTTCCTTTGGCCTCCCTGTAGGTAGGAAGGACTACCTTCCTAATCGCTGAATTTCTCATAGTTAGCCAGTTCCCAGCACTTAATTTTAAATTACTTATCATGGCTTTCAGGGCCCTTTACAACCTGATTCCCATCTGTCTTTCCTACCTCATCTCCCACTGTTTCCCTCCAGTCTGTTCAGAGTTGTCCCCACAAGTCTGACTCATTTCTGCATCTGCACCTTTCCTTGTGTTGTACACCACAGATTTCTTCCCAATAAGCTTTCCATGTTCTCCTTCAGGAATGTGAGATGACTGGCTCACTAGTCTTTGGCATGAATCCAGTACAGAGTAAATGCTCAATAGATATTTTTTAATAAAAGAAGAGAGGGGGAAAAAAAAGAAGAGAGGAGAGAGGAAAAGGGAAGGATGGAGGAAGGAGAGAAGAGGGAAGCAAAGAGTAGAGGAGAGTTATACAACTAATGGGTCAATGAGTAGCTGAAATGGGGACAAAATCTATTTCTACCTGATTTCAAATCCTGTTCTTTAACCAGTATATTGATTTGCTAAGTGTGTGTGTGTGTGTGTGTGTGTGTGTGTGTGTGTGTGTATGCTGACTATCCACATTTTAAATTCATTTTTCTATGATATTTGTCTCCTTATCATGTCCCATTTGTCTCTGTTAAACATAGACTATAAATGGATGCCTCCCATCCCAGGAGGCACAACAGGGGTGTTTTGCTCATGAAATGAACAATGAAGATTAATGCTTTTAGGTGGCTAACCAGGCTGCAAACCAATATTATGATCATAACATTTAGGTTCACACTCTTAAAGAAGTACAAAAGTAAGGAAATACACTACATAAACTATGCACTGTATAAACTATGCATGCATGCATAGTTGCTTCAGTTGTGTCTGATTCTTTGTGACCACATGGACTGTAGCCCACTAGGCTCCTCAGCCCATGAAATTCTCCAGGCAAGAACACTGGAGTGGGCTGCCATTTCCTACTCCAGGGGATCTTCCCAACCCATAGCTCTCTTTGAATGAATGCAGTGCTATTATTATTATTATTATTTTGCCTGCGCTGCATGGCATGGGAGGGGCCTTAGTTCCTTAACCAGGGATGGAACCTGTGACCCTTGCAGTGGAAGCCCTGAATCTTAATCACTGGACCACCAGGGAAATCCCTAATGCAGTGCTCTTTGATTGTTCAAAAAGTTTGGGATTCCCCACCCTCTTGTCTTTTCATTCATCAGCCTTGCCTTTATCAAAAAACAATAAAGTCATCTGAAGGAATACCTAGTCTTAGCTTTCTCTGTTTCTTTGATATTACTTAATAATGGTTCTTGACATAGAGAAGTACATCTTTGAATTTCTGCTTCTTATTCATTTGATGTTTCAGAGGATGAGGAATGTAATATTGCTACTATCTTAAGTTTACTTTTCTTTAAAAGAGTTTAAATGTACTTTTATATTATCTCTATCATATGGACCAGTATTATTGAAATAATTCTAGATACTTTTTACAAAAGGAACATTAAAATACTACATCTGTCCACATGTGCATGTTCTTGAATTATTTTATGACATTTTCATTTCTGACTATTATCTTCCATTATTTGGCTTCCAAAATTTGCTGCCTTCTTTGTCTCATCTATGTTTTCCCATTATCGTTTTTCACTTTGCCTCTTTTATTTCCTCCCATCTTTTGTGGCAGGAAATCCTTTTAACAACTCCCTTACAAAGTCAGTCCCAGCTCATGTATCTCTCTCTTGTCCTGTATGAAGGATTCACTCCTCTATGAGGGCTTGTTCCAATGTTTCCACAGTTTTTATTCTCTGGGAATCCTTTCACCTCCTGTCATAAAATATCTGACTGACTAATGTCAGGGGAAGAGCCCTGGGGTGTGGATTAGGGCTGGTGGGTATTGCTCCCAGCCCTACCACTACTTCAATGAGTACTGCTGGGCATTTCACTGTCACCTCAGCTATAAAAATGCAAGGGTCGTCTGGCACAGAAACAGAGACACACAGGTCAATGGAACAGAATAGAGTGCCCAGAAATAGACCCACACTTATACAGTCAATTAAGCTGTGACAAAAGAGGCAAGAATATACAAGGGGGGAAAGCCAGCCTTTTTAAGCAGTGCTGCTGGGAAAACTGGAGAGCTACCTGCAAAAGAATCAAACTGGACTACTTTCTCATACTATCTACAATAATAAACTCAAGATGGGTTAAAGGCTTAAATCTAAGACCTGAAACCATAAAACTCCCAGAATAAAACATAGGAAGTATGGCCTCTGACATCAGTCTTAGCAATATTTTTTTGGATATGTCTCCTCAGGCAAGGGAATGAAAGCAGAAATAAACAAATGGGATGGCACCAAACCAAAAAGCTTTTCCACAGTGAAGGAACTATCAACAAAATGAAGAGGCAGGCTACTGAATGGGAAAAGACATCTGCAAATGATATATCTGATAATGCTCCCAAATATACAAAAAGCTCATACGTCTCAAAAAATAATCAACTCAATTAAAAAATAAGCAGAAGATGTAAATAGATATTTTTCCAAAGTCATATAAATGGCCAATAGGTCCATGAAGAGATGCTTAGTATCACCAATCGTTATGACAATGCAAGTCCAAATCACAGTGGGATATCACTTCATGCCTGACAGAGTGGTTTTTGCTGGGGAGACAACAAATAGCAAGTTTTAGGAGAGGATGTGGAAAACAGCGTGAAGGTTCCTCAGAAAACTGTAAATAGAACCACCACATAACACAGCAATTCTACTCCTGGGTATTTGTCTGAAGAAGACAAAAACATGGATTTGAGGAGATATGTCCAACCCTATGTTCATTGCAGCATTGTTTACCATGTCAAGAATATGGCAACAACCTGGGTGCCCAT